AAACTGTAATCTGTAGAATTACCTACCAGTTGAACATTCATAGCTTGGGATTTTTATTACTAAATCTGCACCCTTTGCTCTAGCAGTCCTCTGTTTTGAAAAGCTGAAAAAGCTGCAAATTTGCATATAATCCAACATGGAATTATCAGAGTCCCAGTTGAAAGAGTCCTGGGGTTTTGTTGGCGTAACAAGGAAACAGCCATCCCATAGGCATAAGTAACAGGCCCTAGCTCTCAGCATGAGCTGACTCCTGGCTACAGTCCTGGAAAGATAGAAAGCTTTAGAGAAGTATGAGAAGGGATTCTGGCTACCATGACAGATTCTAAAGCCACGTATTCTCCTGCACAGAACACCCTGCCACTCCAAATGGCTCTTGGAGCTATAGACTCCATGGGAACACTTGTAAATGATGCCCCATTTACCAGACTTGACTTCTGAACCCAGTGGGACTCAGCAGGCTGGGAACAATTCAAAGGACCACAGTAATCACCTCCCAGGAGATGAGTCATTGTGCTTCCCAGCCAATGAAGGATCCCAAGTCATGGATAAACACAACCTGGTTGGCTGGGACCACACCAGGCCTCTCTTCTCAGATAAACAACATGAAACCAAGAGTTCTGTGCTTGAAGTAGCTTCTCCCTCTGGGATGTCTGGATGTTTGGGGGCCTCAGGCCAGCGCTAAGAACTAAGAACTCAATTTCTTAAGCTGCTCCCAGGACACTGGTTAGTGAGGATTTTAATGTTCCCAGGAGACAAAGTGTGTAACAAGCATGCAGCTGCCACCTCAAAAGGTACTAGAGGAGGCAAACAAGACAGCTCTTGGGTCCTGTATCTCTTGCCTTTGTCTCTAGGAGAAAGTGCGTGGGCTCCCTCCTCGACACAGTTTTGGTATCAGGTTCTTCAATTTCCATTTCTTATAGACAAATGAGAGTATACCTTTGTACTCTGAAGATGGGTAGGATGTCTGTCAAGACCTTACTCTGCACTAGTCCGTGTTTGCAAAATAAAATAAAATAAGGCAAGGTCCATGCCCTCAGAGATGTTTCTGTATTAGAGATACATACTCAACAGTGGCCACCCATACCCCACCTCATCAACTGAGGTACATACAGACAGCCTCTTAGTCTCATCTCTGTTTATAAAATATTAAAGGGCAAGGACTGAGGAGAGAGGCTGAACAACCAGCCAACAATAGAACTGTAGGTTTGGAAATAAAAGAAAGAAAGGAATTCTAAAATCCCCACTTCTCCTTACTACATATACTACATACTGCATACTCCTCAAATGTGCCCAATTTGAAATTTATCTGGGTCAATAAGCACCTCTAAAAAAAAAAAAATTGGTTTCTATCACTTATCCATGCCATTGGTGTATATGTGCTTAACTAGTTGCCTTCAAGTCAGCTAAGACTCATGAAGACCTTATATGTGTTAGGGTAAAATTGTTCCACAGAGTTTGCAATGACTGATCCTTCAGCAGATCACCAGGACTTTCTTCCAAGGCACCTCCAACCTTTGGGTTAGCAGCTGAGAGGATGTACACCATTTGCACCACTGAGGAACTCCCGAGTGTGTTTACACACCTTGCTTACCTTCTAATCTCAAGCTACTCTTAGCTACCCAAAAGGAATGGGCACTATAATTAGGAGAAAAAGGGAAGAGATTAAGAGGAAAAGAATGAATTTGGAGCCTGTGTTTAAAGCACTGTGTGTAAAAAATGTAAAAAATTGTCTGTGTTTACATATTAGGCGACTCACCAAGCAAGGCTGCTCCAGTGGGAAATGTAGGCCAACAGGAGGATGCTAGGATCCCATGAAGAAAATATACACTGGGGCCCCACTAAGCACTCCATGAGCACTGGTGTGACGCTGTAGAATCAGCACTGAGCTGCTAACCACAAGGTCGGCAGTTCAAACCCATCAGCCACTCTTGGAAACCCAATACAGAGTTGCTATGAATGAGAACCAACTCAACAGCACACAAGAACAGCAAGCACTGCACACACATTACCTCTCTCTTATCTTCACAATGGCCTTTTGTAGCCAGAACCACTCGCAGGCCCATTTTACACACATGGAAATACGTTTGGAGAAGACAAGTATCTTGTCCATGGCTACAAAGCCAAGGTAAGAGGCCTGACTCTAAGGCTTAACACAAAGCCAAGGTGAGCTGAAGGGGCTGCCAGAGGCAAGCTTCAGACACTTCTCCAGGAAAGGAAAGGAAACTCCTCCCCTCCTCTGACACCCCAGCATTCCCCTCTCAGTGATAAAAATCAGTCTATCTTGGTCAGTGCTGTTCTTCAACTCAAGAAGCCATGGTGGTTCAGAGGTTGGGCACTCAGCTGCTTACTGAGAAGGCTAGCTAGCAGTCCCATCCAGCTGCTCCACAGGGGAAAGATGTGCAGATAGGCTTCCATAAAAACTAGTGCCTATTTTGGGCAGTTCTATTTTGTCATACGGGTTTCTATGAATCAGAACCAACTGGATAGCAGCTAACAAAAACATTCTTCTTCTCCATTCTAAGCAATACAGACTTATGGACTAGCTGGAGAACCTAGAACCAAGGAAACCCTAGAAACCCAAGGGACAAACGTCTTTTGGAATGGGCTTGCTTATAAGTTAGAAACGGTCTGTGTTTACATATCAGGTGACTGGATTTTTTTAGAGTCAACCAGAATGTTTTCCTGAACCTAACATAATCTGTGGTTCAGAAGGTCAAATGATTCCATGACTATGAAACAGAACTGTTGAATGAGTAACCAGCTAATAATGATTCTTTCTCATGTGACGGTATGTGTGTGTGATTTGTTTCTGGAATAGGAGAGAGCTGGAATTTCTCTATCTGCTTACGGAATTAAGTAAATCTAATTACTATAAGTGAAGGATTCTGGATTATTATTGTGGTTGCAGACACAGTCCTTAGCTAAATAATATCACCTAATTTTCAAGGAGCTCTGGTAGCGTAGTGGTTATGAATTGGGTTGCTAATCTCATGGTCAGCAGTTCGAAACTGTCAGCTGTTCCGCAGGAGAAAGATGAGGCTTTCTGCTCCCGTAAAGATTTACAGTCTCGGAAATCCTGTACAGGGTACCCTCACTATGAGTCGGAACTGACTCCACGGCACATAACAGCAACAACAATTTCCAAGGAGTCCTAGGATAAGCACTAGACCACAAGGTTAGTTTGAAACACAAGGTCAGTGGTTCAAACTCACAAGCCGCTCCTCAGAAACCCTATATAGGATGATATGAGTCGGAACTGACTTGATGGCACTTAACAACAATAACAAGTTTCATGGAGCTCTGGTGTGGCACTGGTTCACAAGGTCAGTTTGAACCATATGATCAGCAGTTCAAACTCACTAGCTGCTCCTCGGAAATCCTATTACAGGGTCACTATGAGTCAGAATTGACTCTACAGCACTTAGCAACAACAACAAATTTTCATTCGTCCAATCATTAGATATTTATTGAGCACTATTATATGCTGTGTTTCCAGCCCAATTCCCAGAAACCCATCATAAAAGAGCTTTGGAACTGTAAGAGTCACCCGGCTCAATTCCTGAAGAAAAAGATATGGCTGCACAACTAGGAACAGCATGAGTAGCCTGAGGCCAGGCAACAGGGCAGCAAAGTAAGGGAAGCCAGGCAGGGCTTTCACTCAGACTCAACTACTTACTAGGTGAGAGACTCAGGCCTACTATGTACCCTCTATGACTTTGTTTTCCTCATCTCTGAAGACAATTATAAAACGTGATCTGTCCACCTGCCCCATTGAGGGACTGTGCTGCTCAGTGACTGCTTTGTGTGAGCACTCAGTAAACTAAACAGGCACAGGTGAAGGCTTCTGTGTGGTCTGGAAAATTCCATCCTGGCATAAGCAGTCATGTATGTGATGGGTTTCACAGTGTGGTTATTATCTAGAGAGAGGGCAGACAAGGCAGGCTGTTCACTACAGTGACTATCTACAAAAGTTTCAATCTGTCAGTTGACAAATGCTGCTGAGGGCTCACAGCTGAGTGCTATCCAGGAATTGTCTTCAGGCAAAAAGAACTGCTCCACCTCCTCCCAGAGGCAGCCTACATCCATCCAATGCCTAACTGGTCAGTGTGAGCACCCTTACGCAAGTTGGGTGTTCAGAGCTCCTGGCAGGGTTGGCTAAGACCTGGGTTATAACTACATCACAGTTCAATTCCACCTATGCTCAATCCTGCTTCTCTCACTCACTCTCAAGTACTGCTCCTAAGAGACTCTCCATGACCCCTGCACACACATCTCCTTCTCATACCTGAGTTCCCAATTTATAACATCTCCAAGGAACCTTGTCCCTCAGACTGTGAGACTCTGAACAGAATAGCAATCCATGCACAGACAAGGATCCATTTTCATCCTGGTGTCATGCTCCATGTCTTAGCCCAGATCAGTTCATCCAGGGAGGTCTTTCCCCACCTGAAGTGTCATCCTTCCCAACACTCACACCCAGAGTCAGGAAAGGTCAACTGCTAATGGAGGAGGCAGGATGCAGTTCTGACCACTCTTTCCCACTCCATCCTTCTCTAGGTAGGAAGCTCTAGTTAGTGGGATCATGAAAGTAAAGAGCTGCTAAAGAAGTTCTGTGTCAGCAGAAATTGGGTTGTGTGGAGAGAGACGGGCAATCTTTCCAGTCCAGAAATACTGGTGCCAACTCAGTGTCAGCTTAAGGATGAAGCAGATGCCCAGGGAGCTGCTACTTCTTCCCAACAAACAGCAACCTACACCTCCAGGCACCAACACTCCCCCTAACACACACAGAGCAAAGAACAGCATTAAAGATGTAGTTCAAGAAACTCAAACCACAGTTACTTTTCAAGAAAAGGGTCCATGAGCATCTAACATTGAAAAGCCAGAGGGACCCACAGAGGTAAGTCAGCCTCCAGATGGAGGGCCTGAGGCCAGGTGTCCTCTGCCTCTTAATTCCACAAGCCACACATATCCAGAGCATTCTCTGACTGGGCTGCACCTACCTTCTGCATTTCCCCGGAGGAGATGTTACAGGGGCTGATGGGAATGGATGCCCGTGTGCACCGCTGTTCTCCACTGCTCATAGCCCAGGAGTTGGCAAAGTCATAGGGGTCTGAAGTCAGGGTCCCTGTGGAGCAAAGTTTCAGAAAAATAAAGTCACAATTACACCTGTCTGAGGACATCAAAGTGAAAACTCTAGATCTGTCATTACCTGAGCTAATCTCCCATTAGATTACAGTTTACACATTTGGGTGGGGAATATCTTTTGTGCAATACTCAGCATAACACTACAAGGGCATGGATGGGTATTGGCGCTTAGCAAATGTGTCATGAGGAAGATGACGTGAAAAACAATAAGGAAGATGCCTATCCACTCTCATTTCTTCATGCTTTGCACATCTGTCTATCTCTGGGAAGAACATTCTCCACCTCTCTTGTTGCCTTGGCTATTTCCACGCATTCTTCAAAATGCAGCTCAAGAACGACTTCATCCAGTAAGCCTATCTGGACCAGCTATTTAAGGTATTTCCACCTTATGTATTTGAGCTGCGACCAATTGAACTTTCAACTGTCCAGTTTTTTGTTGTTGTTTTGCTTACATAATGTGTGTATAACTGGAGAAGCAAGGAGCATCAATGTTGAAGAATGTTTCCAACCCTCAAAGATAAATAAAGATTGGATTTATAAAGATACTGGTTGTAAAAGGCAATAATAAAGAAGTATCAATTTATATCAGAATCAACTTACAACAGAGGAATGGAAGGAACTCCATTATACTGGTACTATCTGGAACTCCCTTTTCCCCTATGCTGTCTGAGTTGGCTGTGCTCTTTCACTGTACTCACTCTGCCTCCTAGGCATACCTCAAGCAAAGTTCTCATCACATTGTGTGCTAATGGTTTGTTTGTTGTGTGGTGTGTTTTTTGTTTGTTTGTTTGTTTGTTTGTTTTGTTTTGCTTATCAACCTCCATTCAACTGTGAGCTCCTTAATTAAGGCCTCAGGCTTTGTTTCTCATCCTCCAAGTTCTCACAACCAACTGTGAGGGCCTCACAGCCTTACAGAAACCAAAACACCAGTTACCATTGCATTGATTCCAACTCAAGGTAATCCCATGTGTGTCAAAAGTATCACAGTGTGCCATAGGGTTTTCTTTCTTTTTTAAATAAATGTTTTTATTGTGGATTGAGTGAAAGTTTACAGGGCACATCATCAGCTTCACATTCAACCATTTTTTTTTTTTTTTTTTTTTTTTTTTTTTTTTATGTGCCTTCGAGTCTTCCTTGTAGGCATATGGTTATTATCCTATTATAGACAGCATTGACACGTCCCTTTTGACAATGAATGTGAAACCATTCCTTTTCAATTGCATGTTCCTTGCAAAGTGAACTATATGATTGTACAATTCAAAATGGTCAATGTCAGTCCATTTCAACTGCCTAATGTCTAGGATATTGATCGTTATGTGTTTGATTTCAATTTTTACTATTTTCAGTTTTATTAGATTCATTCTTAGTACATTTCACATTCCTATGATTAATGGACTTTTGCTGTTTATCATAGAGT